ATACTGGATAGTGGCCAAAGCTTCTCAAAAGAAAAGTCCCAACCAGACCCTCCTTCTACTCTCTTCTCTGTTTTTCCTCAATCTTTGGTGAAAACTTCCTCAGCTCCAGGAGGCACAACATAGCAGCTAAAGGCAGGGTTTGTGGAGTCAGATCGATCATTTGGGGTTAAAAACAGGCTCTGTCACCAGGAAACTGTGAATCTAAGTAGGTTTATCAATTGTGTCTAAACCCCCTGTCAAATAAGGCGCATAGTCTCTATTCCTTCATTTTGTACACTCCCTACCTTCCCAAGGAAGAGTACATGAAATAATGGGAGGTGCTTATCACAGGAATTGGCAGAAATTGGCTGCTATCTGACCTTCAGATGACTCTCTTGGAGGTATAACCTTGGAGACAGGAAGGCATGATGGAAGGAATGTTTTACTCCTGCTCCTGATGTGTCTGTTCCCTGAAGTAACCCTCTTCTTTGAGGCTCTTGAGTTTTTCCATTTCTTTTATCTCAAATAGTTATCACAATGGTCCTAGGAAATAGATGAGCAGAAGGTATTAACTGTTTTGAAGATGAGCAAATTGATACCATGTTATTTAGTCTCTATCTTCCTTATGTGTTTTAAAAAAAAATAAAATTCAGGGTGAGATCCTGATGGCAGTAGCATTTTAGAATCACCTAAAATAACTCATAAGAATTGACAGAGTAACTTGGATAACAGAAGAAACATCCCTCTGCACAACATTTTGTTGCCAACAAATAAAGGTTACCAACAAGTAGCACAGTCCCAAAGAAGAAAACCCCATTGTGAGTGGAAGTATCAGCACACAGTTCTGTGAATACCTTTGAAATCAGGCTAAGGTTCCACAGATTCCTCCATAAACTGTTGTTACAAGCCCCAGGTTGCAGGCAAGTCCAAGCAAGACTACAGAGAACTGAAGTATCAAGGGCTCTTTAGAGAAATAGTTGGTTCATGGCAGAGCACAGTGTGAAACTGGGATGCCTTGTCCTTCTAGAGAGAAAGAAAACACCAGTCATGAATAACATCAGATAGATTGTGGTCAATATTTGGTACCCCTGAGAGCTGTCAGGTCAGATTTGGGACCTGAGACCATCATGCAGCACCAGGGAGTTTCTGTGGTCTTCCGCCTTCAGTTGTCTCAAGCCTTTGTCTGTCCCACACACCAATTCTCTCCCAAGGAAAGGGAACTGAAATAAGTCAGGACCAACATTTCTAATATCTAGGCAAAGGGAGATCAGCCCTGCCTACCTAGCAAGCCTGTCACCTGAGTCTTAAGACTGGCAACCATTCTAGTCACTTTTAACTGTCTGACAGCTGTCTGAAGTTTAAGAAAGAGCACAGAATCCCTGATGAACATAGATGCAAAAATTCTCAATAAAATTCTGACACATTGCATACAAAGACATATTTAAAAGATAGTGCGGGACTGGGGTTGTGGCTCAGTGGTAGAGTGCTCACCTAGCACTTGTGACAAAAGTGGGTTTGATCCTCTGCATCACATAAAAATAAAACAAAGGTTATTGTGTCTACCTACAACTAAAACAAACATTAAAAAAAAAAAAGATAGTGCATCATTATCAAGAGGGATTCATCCCATGGATTCAGGATTGGTTCAACATACAGAAATTAATAAATGTAATTCATCATATTAATACACTTAAAAACAAGAATCATATGATCATCTCAATAGATGCAGAAAAAGCATTTGACAAAATACAGCATACTTTCATGTAGTCAAAACACTAGAAAAACTAAGGAAAGTAGGAATATACCTCAACATCGTAAAAGCTATATATGATAAACCCAAGGCCAGCATCATTCCAAATGGAGAAAACTTGAAAGCATTTCTTCTAAAAACTGGAACAAGACAAAGATGTCCTCTTTCACCACTCTTATTCAACATCATTCTTGAAATTCTAGCCAGAGCATTAGAAGAAAGAAATTAAAGTGATACAAATAAGTAAAGAACTAAAATTATCACCATTTACCAATGACATAATTCTATATCTAAAAGATCCAAAAAATTCCACCAGAAAACTTCTAGAACTAATAAATAAATTCAGCAAAGTAGCAGGATGTAAAATCAACACCCATAAATCAAATGCATTCCTATACATCATTGATGAATCCACTGAAAGAGAAATTAGGAAAACTAACTCATTTACAATAGCTTCAAAACAAACAAACAAACAACAACAAACAAAAACCCCTGGGAATCAATCTAACAAAAAGAGATGAAAGAGCTCTACAAAGAAAACTACAGAACACTAAAGAAATAAATTGAAGAAGACTTTAGAAGATGTGAACATGCTCCTGGGTAGGCAGAATTAATATTATCAAAATGATCATACTACCAAAAGCATTATACAGATTTAATGCAATTCCTATTAAAATCCCAATGACATTCTTCATAGAAATAGAAAAAGAAAAAAAAGAAATAGAAAAAGCAATCATGAAATTTATTTGGGAAAATATGAGACCCAGAATAGACACAGCAATTCTTAGCAAGAAAAGTGAAGCAGGAGGCATCATAATAACACACCTATACTACAAAGCTACATTAATAAAAACAGCATGGTACTGGCACCAAAATAGACACATAGACCAATGCTACAGAATAGAAGACACAGAGACAAACCCACATAAATACAATTGTCTCATACTAGACAAGGTGCCAAAAACATTCACTGGAGAAAAGATAGCCTATTCAACAAATGGTGCTGGCAAAACTCGAAATTCATATGTAACAAAATGTAATTAAATATCTTTCACCCTGCACAAAAATCAACTCAAAGTGGATCAAAGACTTAGGCACTGGAACACAGTCTCTACACCTAATAGAAGAAAAAGTAGGCCCAAATCTTCATGTTGGCCTAGGATCTGACTTCCTTAACAAAAGCCCTAAAGCACAAGAAGTAAAGTAAAAGATCAATAAATGGGATGGATTCAAACTAAAAAGCTTCTTTTAGGCAAAGGAAACAATCGATAATGTGAGGAGAGAGCCTATAGACCTGGAGAAAATCTTTACAACATGCACCTCTAGGATATATAAAGAGCTCAAAAAATTTAACACCAAAACAACAACAACAACAACAAAAATAAACAAATAACCCAATCAGTAAATGGGCTAAGGAACTGAATAGACACTTCACAGAAGAAGAAATACAATCAACCAACAAATATATGAAAAAATGTTCAACATCTCTTGCAATTAGAGAAATGCAAATCAAAACATCACTAAGATTTTATCTCAATCCAGTCATTCTAGAGTGAGTGGCAATCATCAAGAATACAGGCAAATGTAGCTGGGTGTGATGGCACAAAGTAGTAATCCCAGAGGCAGGGGAGGCTGAGGCAGGAGGATCGAAGGTTCAAAGCCGGCCTCAAAAAAAAGTGATGCGCTAAGCAACTAAGTGAGACCCTGTTTCTAAATAAAATACAAAATAGGGCTGGGATGTGGATGTACCCTTGTTGAGTACCCCTGAGTTCAATCCCTGGTACAGAAAAAGAATACAAGCAACGACAAATGTTGGTGAGGATGTGGGGGAAAAGGTACGCTCATACATTGCTGGTGACACCGCAAATTGGTGCAACCTCTCTGGAAAGCTCAGAAAACTTGTAATGGAACCACCATTTGACCTGGCTATTCCACTCCTCAGTTTATACTCAAAGTACTTAAAATCAACATACTACAGGACTGGGGTTATAGCTTAGTTGGTAGAGTGCTTGCCTCACACACACAATGTCCTGGGCTCAATCCCCACACCAAAACAACAACAACAACAAAAGCAACAAACCAATCATCGTGCTATAGTGATGCAGGCATGTCAATGTTTATAGCAGCTCAAGTCACAATAGCTAAACTATGGAATCAACCTAGGTGTCCTTCAGTAGATGAATGGATAAAGAAAATATGGTATATATATATTTAATGGAATATTACTCAGCTTTAAGGAAGAATGAAATTATAGAATTCGCCAGTAAATGAATGGAGTTGGAGACTATCATGCTAAGTGAAATAAATCAATCCCAAAAAACCAAAGGCAAAATGTTTTCTCTAATATGTGGATTTTAATTCACAATGTGGGGGCACTAGGGAAGAATAGAGTTACTTTAGATAAAGGGGAGTGAAGAGAGAGGAGGGGAGGGGAAGGGAGGAGATATGAGGATAGGAAGGATAGTAGAATGAAACAGATTATATATATATAAAACTGCATGACTAATGTGATTCTACAACATGTACAATCAGAAAAATAAGAAATTATATCCCATCTATGTATAATATATCAAAGTACATAAATGCATTCAAATTTTAAAAAAAAGCTCAGAGAAGAGAAATGAGAGTTCCATTGTTCATATTACTCACCCTCTGGTAGGTTCTGGGCAAGCCCTTATAAATGTAACACAGAGGTGGATGAGTGGGATCTTTGTTTCTTGATTTCAAAGGAATATAATCCACAGACACAGGAGTGAAAGAGGGCAAAGTAACAGGGTTTATTAGTGTAATACAAAGCAGAGTTCCCAAGAGGGAAAGATTGAGGGGTTGAAAATGTGAAAAGTTGAGTCATTTTGGCAGAGAGAAGGTCTGGGGTGAAGGCACGAAGCTTGGACATGGAGGACACTTGCCATTGCTTTGGAGAAGGTTTCAAGATCTTGGAGAATTTGGAGTTTGAAGGTGCCATTTTCAGGCAAACCCATATGGGGGTCAGGCAGTACTGCAGAACATCAGTCTTTTAGATTTGAGTGTCGTGAGAACTCAGGGTCTTGATGTGTTTGAGGAAACACCCTAAGGAGTGTCTGTGAGAGTTTTTAGGGGGCCTGGCCCATGCTGGACAAAAGAATTAAGGAGGGTCCCCAAGGATTCCAACAGAGAGAAAAGGCAAAGTCAAGGGTCATTCCCACAAGAATCTTGATTTCTCTAAGGATGTTCCAGGAATGATGGATGGAAGGAAGAATGATCAATGGGCATCTTTAAATAAAGTACCATGGGGGGGCGGAGTTTCTCTTTCCCAGTCCTGGGATTTGTCAGAGGAATGGTATCCATGGAGACAGAAACCAAGGCAGGGGTTCCAGGAATCCAAGGGAGTTGAAGTGGGTCACTTACTCAGTAGGTAATGGCTGTTGGTGGATGAAAAGCCCAGCAATGTGAATGGTTCTCAACTGGAGCCCCAGGAAGGAGAGGAGAGACAACGAGACAGGAAAGGAAAGAGACTGGATGGAGGCTAGGGAAGGCCTGGAACCTCAAACACCTGACTTGGGTTTCAGCACCAACATGTAAGGAAAGAACTAAACGAATGAAATAAAGAGAGAAATAGGAAAGGTAACTCAACAGTAACACGATTTTGGGGGGGGGGAACCTGAGATGGGCTCAGTGGAGTCTGAAACCCCTTCCCTGCTTAGTGCCTAGGAAGTTATAGGAAAGTGAGGAAGTGGGGGGGTGTCAGGGAGGGGTTCTTGTGGTCATCACCTTCATTTTTTGCAGTGGTTACCTTTCCATTGTTACCAAAAGCTTGGTCCTTGTCCACCACCCCCATGCCAATCCAATATGGTTTTGAGAAAAAGGAAAAAAAAAATTTACTGCTTTGCTAGCAAAAGAGAAACACAGGGACAGGTGTCCCAGAGACACCTGTTCTGCCCATCAGGGGGAACAGAGGTTTTTTTTTTTTTTTTTTTTCCAAGAGGTGATTCAGAGACTAAATTCCAGGTATTCCCTGTCCTGGGTTGTAATTCGCTTTCTAATTTGGAAGATAGTAATTCCTTAGATCTGGCCATCCTGCTGTCTCTAAAGTCTGAGTTACTTGTTCCTGTGGCAGGTGTGTGCTCAAGGACAGAAATCTGCCTAGGAAGAGGAGGAAAGGTAATCCTGTTCCCCCAACCCTGAGATTAGAGAGAAGAGATTAGGGAGAGGATAGAGAGAGAAAGAGATGTCCATTTAAAAAATAAGTTGCAGTGGCAGAGCCGTAAGGGCTATATTCAAAGTATGATCCCAGATAAAAATTCCCTTTCTTTGTGTAATGATGAGTACTGTTTGAGGTTTAGATTAGATTTATTCAGAGAAACCATGGGATGACTTGTTCAAAGAAGAAGGATGTGTTTCAAAATGGTGTTGTCTAGGTCAAGTTCTCCCTAGCAATAAGGCTCCAGGACAAACAGTGAAAGATATGAAAATAAATCCAAGGACATTTTCCCTAAGCTTTTGTCCTCTAAAATCCCAGGTCTTAGCCAGAGCAAAGGAATTCAAAAGGAACTTGCACCTGACCCCCTCACTCTAATGGGTCAGTGGACCCCAAATACAATGAAGCCTTGGAATTGTTCTCCTGTTCCACTCTAAGCGAAGTCTATATAAAACAGACCCTTGCTTCAGCCCACCACCATTTTCTGCCCCCAAAACGAGCCATGCCAGTGTTCTACCAATTGACTCTGCCATTGAATCCTGAATAAAGAAAAGTTTGCTAGCTGAGGTTTGCTTCCTGTCTCCCACCTTCATCATGTGTGTCATTTGTGCCAACAGGAACAAGAGTAAGCTAAAATTAACCCGTACCCTACCCCCAACAGTTCTCCTTCACCTGCAGTTAAATTAAATGGATAATAGGAACTGGGAAGTGACTGTTGAGTGTCCAGCACCCCTAAGGATCTCTGAGCTTGGGGAACTCCCAGCCACTGCTCATGAAACTATGGCTGAATCCCTAAACTGCATTTCCCACTCCATAGATCATAGACTCTCCACACCCTCTGTGGTTCACTAAATGTGGAAAAAAATTAATGCGTGAAACAGGAGAGAACTCAAAGCAACTGAAGCCATCTAGCTGGAGCAACTCCCTAATGTTGCATGAAAGCTTTGAATCTAAAAATCTGACTCCAGCAACAGATATCAACAACTTGCTAAAATTTTGCAGTTTAATGCTACATGAATTTGTACAAATCCTTTTGTTAACATTAAAAGAGGGCTACTTCTACTCCCCTGCCCCTCCAACCTTCCCTTCCCTTTCACACTTAGCAACCTCATGGATCAGAGACCTCCTTGCCATTTTGTTTCCACATCCACCACCAGTCTTCTCATCTCTTTGAAGAGGTAAGTCCCCATTCATTAATCGGGACCCTATCTCTCATTTGTTTCATCTCTACCACGTAGAGACTTCGTCCAGGCTATTAGAGATCCTGTCCCTCACCTCTGGGACTGAGGAAAAGACATTTTCCCAATCTCTAATGGGAAAAGTCCAGGCTGGAACTGACACATCGTGGCATAAAGAGTGCAGAGGATGCTTTGCCCTCCACTGTCACCTTTATTGAGCCTCTCCAAATATGGGAACTACCCAGTCAGTCCCCAGAGACACCTCCTTGGGCTGTCTCTCTACCAATTTTCAGACCCTCTACTCTCAAACTGATCTTGAAATTGAATGCCTCAAATCAAATTTGGTCACAATACAAATTCTCCAAAATTTAAAAATTACCTATTACAGATTGGCAAAATTGTCTAAAAATTTACAGAATAGAAAGGTGGTCTGAGGTTTTCTACCTCCAAGATTTCTTTTTCTTTCACTCAATTACCAAATATACCACCCTAGACCCTCATACTCCTGTGGGTACTCTTTTTCTCCTTATCCAATTTATCAGCAGGTCTGCACCTGATGCCCATAAAAACTTAAACAGGGAAGGGCACCAAGGCTTCCCAGAAGCAATTTCTCTATACTACTTTCGAGAACTTTAACAATAAGAAGGATGAAATCAAACAGGAGAAGGAAAAGCATTTTAAAATTAAACATTAAAACCTATCCTTAGCCATCCTTAGACCTAAAAAACCCACTGCTGCTGATGGCCCCAACAGATAATACATCTCCTGCACCCTGTTTATGAAGTGGACAAGCTGGACAAGGGGCAAGAGCTTGTCAGAATCCAAGACCCCCTACCAAACCATATCCCAAATGTGGGCAGTGGGGACACTGGAAGATGGACTGTGCCCAGGGAAAATCACCCCTCCCTTGGTGCAGTCGGTTTCCTAAGTCTCCTAATACATCCAAGGAACCCCAGGTTTCAGCCATGATGAACAGCTGAGGAACAGGCAGATATTCCCCTTCTGAAGAGATTCCAAGGGTACAGCTATTTGGTAAATGTTCCATCTTAAAATGATTTAAAAAGGTTAATTAGTGTCCTCCATTCTGAGTGAGGTCCCAGCCCAAAACCATGTAAAAAGGAGTATTATTTCAATTTCCTACCCTCAACTTACCTATAGAGCAAAAATCTAACCAATTTATTAGTGAGAGAAAAAAATAACTGTAACCAGCCCAATAGCCAATGGCATGTCTCAGTTCTCATCCTGAAAAGTAATGTGAGAAAATGTTTCATGATTTTCTCCATCCACATCTGGCCTAATCAACTTCTGTGGGGGAAAGTCCTAGGTAGCGTCTCTCCAGCCAGGTTGAAGCCTGCATAGGAATATAAGCTGCAAAAGCCAGCTGGCCCCATCAGGGGACCATTCTGAAACTAAAGGGGGAAAAAAAAAAGAGGAAAAATATCTATTTAATTTTTCTCTGGATGCAATGCAGAAAAATGACTTCAGGTGTCTCTCTCTCTCTCTCTCTCTCTCTCTCTCTCTCTCTCTCTCTCTC